TTATGAGCAATGGTTAGGCACCAAAAAAATTCATCATAAGTGGCCTGGTTTAAAAGGAGTGGCTCATGAATATCTGCATGAGGGTTGAACCTGGGAGCTTCATTAAATTCAAAGAGTTTTAAAGTGTGTTTGACATTGAACAACTAGAATGAAATGAGATAATATGAACCCCCCACCCGATTATATTCAAATGTCGAGAAAAATTGGGTAGTGGGTTCCAAGTAAGTTCTAGGAGCAGTTTTAACAAACTCAGTCAAACAGAGGTTGTGGAAGAGGAAGTCAAGGTCGGATTCAATCCCTAACTTGACCATGTCATCACGATAGTAATTCCGAGTCGGTATAAACCTTCGAGATTTTATGTTATTATATATGGGAGCTTGTTTAGACCGATTGTAGAATTTGAGAGGCTGAAGAGGTGGAGGAGGGTTAGTATCTTGATGATTGGGATTAGGAGGTTGGCTTTGAGAGTATTGGCCATGAGATGATTGACCGGGTGATTGATGGGAAAGTCTTTTTGCTAGACTTGGCTTTTCTCAACAAATCCATGATAAACAAATCAAAAACACCAAATAGCACAAAGGAAATCACACCAACAACTTCTCAACACCAATTCTACCACTAACACTCCACACAACTACACAACACCCCCAATACTACAAGGTACCTGTTTTAAACAACAAAACTACCAAAATACAAACAACAATAAACACAATTAGAAATCAATATCAAAAGTAAACCAAATTCACTCAAACAATTTAAAAATCAACAAACAATTAACCAAAATCTTCACATGCATTCTAAACCAAGGTATACCAAAATCAATGCATAAAATCAATAAAAATCCAAAAAAATCAAGCAAAGATTAGGCTTATTGATATGTCCATTTTATATAGTATTTTACCCCCGTCCCTTGGTCATAATTAGTAGTGTTTTTGGCTCTTTAGAGCCATTTTTATTACTAATTGGTGTTTTCTAGTGTTTTTGTATATTTGGTTGACTTTTGTAGGGATTTGCACTTTTGGAGTATTTTCCCGAGATTTTATGGAGCAACTACGAGCATTGGAGATGATGATAAGCAATGAGGATTTGTTGATCATGATTTGAAGTTTGATTGCTTAGATGTCCTGACATGCGTCAATTTTGTCCAACTGCTTGTGAATATAGTGCTTGACTAGTTGATTTGGTTAGGAATTGTGTGTTAGTTCCTGGTATGTCAATGAATTTGAGTATTGGTTTGCAACTATAAGTAATGTTTATATGACTCATTATTATGCACATTGTGGAGGACGAAGGCATTTGTTCTTTTAAGTAGCCTTCAGATGATTTTAGATACATTTGTTCCCTTGTTGCTACCCATGTTGTTGCCTTGACGTTTTGTTGTTTATTAGCCACATTGGTTAATGATCCCAAGCTTGGCTTGGGGGGAGCTATTAGTGAGTGAGGTGAGGGAGTTTTTAGTGTGCTTATTATTTGCACAATCTGGGTGGGTTTTGAAAAGTTACTTTGTTCTTAATCATAGTTAATTTTGATGAGTTTAAAATTTGAATTTTCTTGAATAAATAAAGTATGATGATATGGAAAAAAAAGAGAAGTTCAAAAAAAAAAAAAGTGAGTGACCTTCAATAGAAAAACAAAAGAGCAAAAGGAAAAAAAATTGTTTAATGTTCAAGTGTTTTAAGTGAAGGCTAATCAAAAGGAAGAAAAAAAATTGAGTTTCAATGAAATAAAATCAAGTTTGAAGAGATAAACTTTGTTTTTCTATCAAGTGTTACATTATTATATCTTTATGAGTGAAATTTGTAAGTGTTGGGATTGTTTGAATTGATTGGAATTTTATTTGGTGAACTTTTGTTGGAGTTGAGTATGTTGGAGATTTGTTTGTCATTATTTATTTTTGACCTTGGTTTTATTAGGATTTTCTCCCTTAAGCATAGATTTTTTCTCACTTATTCCCAAATACTCCCTACCCTTTACCCTAGCCTTGCATTACAAGCTTTAAAGACCTTCCGACCTTTGTGCATAGAGTTGTATGGATGTGAAAGTGTTGTTTATCAATGCAAGTTATGATTTGACATATTTCAAGTCGACTAGTAGGTTGAGTGCTTGCCTTTTTAAACACAAGAGTGTTGTGAGTTTGGGAGGGCATTGTTCACATAAAGGGGTTGGTTAGAGAGCGATCGAATACATCTTTTACGCGCCACATAAATGAGAGTTGAGTGTGTGAGCACTATTCTTGAATTCTATATGCTCTTGTGGTTTGCTCTATTTGACAATTGTTAGGGAGGAAGAGTAATTGGATGGATGAGATTGGTTGATGTTGAAGCATTTTTATTAGACTTACCTTGAATTGTTTGTGCTTGATTTTTACTTTTTGGGGTGAATCATATTTATTTATTTATTGATGAGATCTTTGCTTAGGGACAAGCAAAGGTTTGGCTTGGGGGAGTTTGATATGTCCATTTTATATAGTATTTTACCCCCGTCCATTGGTCATAATTAGTAGTGTTTTTGGCTCTTTAGAGCCACTTTTTATTACTAATTGGTGTTTTATAATGTTTGCGTAGATTTAGTTGACTTTTGTAGGGATTTGCACTTTTGGAGTATTTTCCCGGGATTTTATGGAGCAACTACGAGCATTGGAGATGCATGACTGTAGACATCTAAAAATTTCTCCCCAAAACCAAACCCGATGATGAACAACCTTTCACCACCACTATTGGTCGGGTTCAGTATTTAATCCCGAGAGTGCTTAAAAAATCGTAATTACTTAAATTTAATTTTTGAATAGTCCATGGATCAATCTTGATGTTTAGTCGAAGAATAGTTCTTTTTTAATTTGAGCCCAAACCTTTTTATTTTATTATTTTATTATTTATGTTGGCCCAAACCTTTTATTTATTTATTTATTTTAGCCCGATAATTAATGAACTGGCCCGAAATTGTCAATCGACACTTAAAAATGCTTAACGAAATTAGGGTTAAGATTGAATTTAGACGGAAAAATGGAATACAGGCTCCCGCGTCATGATAGAAATCCACCGTGTCACGGGAATGTTCCCCGTCTCACGGTGGGATTCCCCGTGACACGGTGCCCATGCTGTGACAAGGAGCAATTCCGTGTCCTTTCCACGTAAACCCTTCACGCGTTTTATTCCCCGTACCTTAAATATTTCCCGCGTCACACAGCTGTCCACCATGTCACGTGAATTTTCCCTGTATGACGGTGGGATTTCCCATGTCACTGTTCCCTCTGCCGTGTCGCGGTGCAATAATTTAGGGTTTTTATCTTTTTAGGGTTCCGTGTGATCCCTCAGCACATTTTTTCTATAAATACCCCCTCATTTCTTCTGTACGGGGCATCAATTAATTCTCTATTCTTCTCTCCTCTATGCTCTACCTAAATACTTGCCTACCCTTCTTCTTTCAAAATTCCTTTTTCAAGCACTCCAAGGAGTCCATACTTTACTTGTGGTTTTGTCCTTAAGCCAAGGCGTGAAAGGTAGAACTGTTTGAGGGTTTGGCCCCAAATGAATTATATTTAATTTAATTTAATTATCATTTTATTATTATTTCCTTGAAGTTACTAACTCGTTTATTATTTTATAGTTGCAAGCAAACAGAATCAAAGTAAGAATTATGTTCCTTTTATTTCTATTATATTTCTAACGATTTTATATTGTTGGATTTTATTGTTAAATTGTTTCCAATATTAATGTTTATTTTATCATATTTATTGATCACCATATTGCATGTTTAAAGGGAATATGTAAATGAAAATCACGCCTAATAAGATAATTTGGACAACCGGTTTAGGATCCTTTTTAATCTTGTTATTAATTCAAGTGATCACTAATATTTTAGAATTACATGTTGCATTAATATTCAACCAATTTAGCTTAATAATAGTTTGGAGCAAATTGAATTTATGTTGGTATGCCTTTGAGATCGCAGGATTGTTTTTCGCTATAAGAATCGAGTAGAGGCCAATACGGGCGAATGTGACTCCATGACTCACATTGTACCATCATCCTCAATCCTCCTTTCGTGGTTACGAACCATATGGAGTTAGTAATCTCATGTATTATGAGTGTGGTATAACCTTCACGGGTCAATCGTTTTTGACTATCGTTGTCCCTCAATCGTGGTTGCCTTTTGTGATCCGTGAACGGTTTACAAGTTCCTTAAAAACTTGTTGGCGTCTCCCTACCTTATTTGTCCCTAATCGTATATGTCAATTACCACTTCCCATGAGTGCCAAGCATATTCATTACATGCTTTAATGTAGGCGCACTTCAAGCGATGCTTACAATTTGGCGACTCCACTGGGGAGGATTCTTGATTATTTATCGATTTGAGTCACTAGTGGTAAAATCCTCATCCGTAACGGGCAAAAAAGGGTCATCCGTAACGGGCAGCGTCCGTTACGTATGCGGCCGTTACGGATGGCCATTGTTATTCGTAACGGGCACTGTCCGTTACGAATAATGGGTTATTCGTAACGAGCATTTGAAATGTCCGTTACGAATAACCCATTATTCGTAACTGACATTTCAGATGTCCGTTACGAATAACCCATTATTCGTAACGGACATTTTAAATGTTAGTTACGAATAATGAGTTATTCGTAACGGACATCTGAAATGTCAGTTACAAATAAATTTTTTTTGTATTAAAATAAATCCTTATTCGTAACGGTCACATAAACCACCCGTTACGAATAAGTGATTATTCGTAACTGACATCTTAAATGTCCGTTACGAATAGAGTTTTATTGTATATAATTTAACACTTATTTGTAACGGGCAACAAAAGTGCCCGTTACGAATAACTGGTTATTTGTAACTGACAATTTTGCTGCCCGTTACAAATAATTATTAAATTAAATTTTCATTTTATTTAATTTCGACAGCATGTATTTATATATAATTAATATATATTAATTAAAACCTGTTACAATATACCTGTTCCTGTAAAAAGCAATTATACCGAATAATCTTTCGTAAAAATTAATACGACGTAATATAAAAACTGAAGTAGTAACACATTACAAATAAAAACTTGTATAAATTTATCCAACATATACAACAACACTAAAAATATTACGTTGTTCTACCTAAGCTAATAGTTAAGCATTCAATAAATATTTATTTCTAAAGTATTGCGCCCATTGTTCTCGAACCAAATTCAACTCGTCAACATCATACGGGGCGGTCCTTGGACTAAAATCCTACTGGAAAAAAAAAACCATATGAAAGTGGTTACAAAATAAAAACAATCCATAATAAAAACAATCATTAGAATAAATGTGATGAATCAAATTATAGAAATAAAACTCATAATATAGAGACAAAACACATAACATCCTTAATTGACTTATATTTTGATTTCTATGAGTTGAAATCAATAAAAAGTTAACATTTACTCACTTTTGGGAGCGTATAGAGCCAAAAACGCTTCAAAATTGTGCTAAAGGACTTCTATCTTTCCCATCTTTCAAATATTGGTTCAAATTAACACAATGTAACACATAACATCCTTAATTATATTATTTTTTGGTTTCTATGAATTGAAATCAATGATAATTGACCACTATCTCACTCTTGGGAGCGTATAGAGCCCAAAACACTTCAAAATTGTGCTAAAGGACTTCTACCTTTCCCATCTTTCAAATATTTGTTCAAATTAACACAATATAAAACAAAACATCCTTAATTACCTTATATTTCGGTTTATATGAATTGAAATCAATGAAAAGTAACCATTTACTCACTTCTAGGAGCGTATAGAGCCAAAAAGGCTTCAAAATTGCCTAAGGGACTTCTACTTTTCCCATCTTTCATGTATTGGTTCAAATTAACACAATATAATACTAAACATCCTTAATTACCTTATATTTTGGTTTTTATGAATTGAAATCAATGAAAATTGACCATTATCTCACTCTTGGGAGCTTATAGAGCCAAAAACGCTTCAAAATTGTCTAAGAGACTTCTACCTTTCCCATCTTTCAAGTATTTGTTCAAATTAACAAAATATAATACTAAACATCCTTAATTACCTTATATTTTGGCAGAAAATTGGAAGAAAATTAAACAAAAATCATAAGAAAGAAACTCTCAATGCAATGTACTAATTAAACAAAAAAAACAAGCTACAAAACAATTAATTACTCATACCAAATTGTCAGATTTAAGCCGAATCAAAACACCATCTTGAAATGAGGACGGAGCTTTTTTAATGGAGTTGAGGGAGCTAAGGACCGAGCTGCTCCTGAAACATCAGATTCAAGTCACTCCCATTTCCCACCAAAATCAAAATATCAAATTAAATAGAAGTAAGTTTCCATTTCCAAACAAATGGCCAGGAATATCACTGTAGTAAGACTTTTAAACTTAGGGTCAGATAACAATTTTGTAAAGGTTTTTATTTTGATAACATTCAAAAGTTATTTGAAATATGAACTTTTAAACTTTTGTTCCTCTTATAGTGATTAAAAGAGTTAATATTTTCTCCATTAAATTTTGTGTTCAACGGATGTTTAAGAATACATATAATAATACATATATATAGAGAGGGAAGTTCTATCAACTTGAGCTACCCCTCACTCTCGGATGTTTAACGATATTAATGTATGTATATCATATCAAAAAATTATTCGGTAACTTTTAATCAATTTTAGAGTAACATTAAATTGAACAACTAACATTATAATGTAAGACATGAGATAAGTTTTATGTTGATAATACAAATACCTTTTCATCGTATTGTGATTGGTTTTTTTTACTCATTTTAAAGGATTAACCTTATTGATAAACTATATAGTGAGATAGTTTCATGAGAAAAGGATACCGTTTTCTCAATATGATTAAAAATTTTGAAATCCTTCCCTGCTGATTTTCCTTTCTAACCAAACTAAACCAAGCAATTGAAAAGAGCCCTTGTGTTGTAGAAATGTCAAATTCATACCACGAATGAAAACTTATGTCATAATCAATTGGCGATGCTTATTATTGCTGGGAATTACGGTAACCAGATATGATGAAACCTGAACATCAACAAACATAAACACAATCAATAACCAAAGAGAACACTAATTTCATCATGATAGAAAATGGAGGTCCTAAACCAATTTCATGCTTCTTGCACATCCAGAGAGTGATTACACAAGAAACAGCAGAATGTAGCAATCATAAAATGTTACAACAGGGCACAAAATTTCCTATCACCACTATCTCAACAGAAAAAGGCAAACTATTTTGCTAATTGGGCGTTCTGATACAAACAAGATAATGTGTACAGGCTATCATGGAAAGTTGGCACGCCCTGTGCTATCTTATGGAAGCTGTACTATCTCAGTAGGAAAGGGCAGGAATGCACAAAGTGCTATATAAGACATAACAGTTAGTCGGCAAGAAGCAAACACAGATATTTCAGCAACTTAACACCATTTTAATTTGAGGATAAAACACAAGGGAAAAATTGGTGACAACAATGCCATAGCTCAGCACCTAGCTCAATAAAGCGATTTTTTGCCAACTCTATGATTGTACAAAACAAGGTCTTGCAGTCACATAATGCAATAAAAGTGTTTCCATCACGATATGTCTAAGAAATGTCAATTCAATTCCGAAATCCTAAAGATGCAACATATTGATCCAAGTAACAATTAGTTCAAACACATCAGTTCCTTCCTGTAAAAACACACACATACTCATAAGCACTACAAAGGCTGGCATTATTCCCCAATATTTTTTATATATCTAATAATCCACACAGCCTCATTACAGTTGCAGAGAAATATGATCTAATAAGCACACCATTGAAGGAAATATCTTTTATTATTATTTATTTTTTTTCAAAACTTCCTTTCCACTTGTGCACCTCAATAATTGTTGAATCAATATAGTAGGCAGCCTCATCCTTGACTTGGTTGCAATTTCCACTATATAATTTTTCATATAAACTGAATTTATCATAGAAAATGTAGCAGTATAGCATATATTCTCAGATAGCAGGTAACTTTCTCCAAAAAAAAGTCAGACAAAAACATAATTCATACTTAGCTCAAAATTCAAAGGCTTTTAAACTAAAACATAATAAAACCCAAAACAAATGGAAAATAGTAAAATCAATCAATTAATTTGGGGAAAAAAAATAAAACCTATAATTCAGTAATTGCAATTAAGCAAACTGAAACAAGGGTTACGAAATTGGGGGAGGACAGAGAAAGAGTACGCTTTAATGGAGAACTATGAGCGCTTCAATGGAGAACTCAGACAGCGCTTCAATGGAGAACTCATACAGCGCTTCAATGGAGAACTCGGAGAGCGCTTCGTTAATGGAGAACTCGGAGTGCGCTTCATTCAATGGAGAACTCGGAGTGCGCTTCAATGGAGAACTCGGACTGCGCTTCAATGGAGAACTCGGAGTGCGCTTCAATGGAGAACTCGGAGTGCGCTTCAATAATGGAGAACTCGGAGTGCGCTTCAATGGAGAACTCGGAGTGCGCTTCAATAATGGAGAACTCGGAGTGCGCTTCAATAATGGAGAAATCAAAGTGCGCTTCAATGGAGGAGAAGAGTGAGAATGAGAGGAGCAAAACACGCGGGAGCTGCTTCAATATTGGAGAGAGAAAGAGGAATTTTTTTGACAGAGGGAGTGAGAAAGGGGAAAGTGAAAATTTAGGACTTACTTTATTCGTAACGGACACCCTATGTTAGTTACAAATAACAAGGTCAAAATTCTGTTGACTTTTCTATTTGTAACGGGCAATATTTGTTGGTTACGATTAGTTACTTAATCGTAACGGGCAGAATAATGCCTGTTACAAATAACAACTTATTCGTAACGGGCACCAATATGTCCGTTACGAATAACAACTTTTTCGTAACGGGCACCAATTTGTCCGTTACGAATAACCCTTTTCCTGCCCATTTCACAACTTTTTTGTAACGGACATTGAATTTGCCCGTTACGAATGACTTAATTGTAACGGAAAATCATATGTCCGTTACGAATAGCTTGTTACAAATAAGATTTTTTCCACTAGTGAGTGATTGGTATTTAATTAAGATGAGTGGATGAGACTTGAAAGATTCTTAAACAATATTCCTGCGATTAATTTGTCATTTTTTCATAAGCATAGACGTTTTAACGTCGCATTTAGGTCTGTCCCGTAGGAAAAATTGAATAACTTGATTGCGTAGGAAGGAAAACAGGTGTAGGGAATATTTCAAGCATTACCCCTAGCTTGAACCCCACTGTGATCATACACTAAAGTACGTTGGCGTCCAAAGGGAAAGAAGATAGAGCAAAAGAGTCGCCAACAAGTGTGAGGAATTTGTAAACCGTTCATGGGTGAAGGTTACACCCCTTAACGATCCAAGAGATCGTTAACTCCAATAGGTCTTGAACCATGACTGGTAGCTAGGGTATGAAGGTACAAATCCAACCTAAAAGAGATTGAACCTACCCTAATAATAGGCCGCTACTTTATTCTTATTGTATTCATGTGCTCTTTGTGACTAACATGCAATCAATAGGATTAACCCTAAACATGTTTATCTATGTTTGTTGAATATTAATGCACAAATAAAACTATTATTGGTGATCACTTGAATTATAATCAAATTAACCCTAACAAGATTATCAATTATATTATTAAGCGTGATTACAAGTACAACTTCCCTTTTAACATGCATAAAAGGCGTGATCAAGAAATAACAATAAATATATATCAAGCAACATAATAAATAATCAAAATAATAATTACAACAATAATCATGATAAAGTATAATAGCAAGATCCTGGGTGTTTCGGGGTTTTCTGATGTCCTGCGGGAGAGTTACAATTCCGAGACTGGAACCGGACGCCTGTACCTGCAAAATAACGGAGACTCCTGAGAGCTCCGCCTCCAACGGTCAAGTTAGTACCTGATTAAGGAGTAATTAATACGAAAATTAAAGTAATAAGATCTCTCTAGGTGAGAGTGTTTAATGTTGGTAATCTGCTTTGTTAGCGAGATTAGCCGGTTATTAGTGTCTTCCGTAACGTTTCTGCTCTGTTCCGTTCTTCAGGTGAGATTAATTGCTTGATCCTCTTTAATGAGGATTAATTAAGTATTTATAGTCTTGAGAAGCGTGCCACTCTCTAGGTTTAGGGTAAACCTAGGGCTGACCGGGCCTCTAAACAGGATTGGGCCTTGTTGGCCGGTTTTCCCATTTGGCATGGGTGGACACGTGGCGTGTCTCAATTGGTCCGTAGAGGACGTATCTGTGATTGACACGTGGCAGGCTCCTATTGGACTACGTGAAGGACACGTGGCGGAACCTGGTTGGTCCACTTGTCAGACGGTGATTGGTGGATAAAAATCCCCTAATCATTTGCCCCTCACAGGTGGCACGTGACTGGTCACGTGTCACCTGTGACAGGTGCCGCACGGCGACAGGCGACGGCCTGCTACAGGTGTCACCTTGCAAATGGCCGAGAGATTTTCCCGCCCAAATTTTGAATTTGGCAGCGACCCTTCGCCTTCTCACTTTGCCTATATAAGGAAGTGCTGACTTCGGTCATTTTCACATTTGAGAACTTTGCGAGAACATTCGGACCCCTGAACTTGCTCTGACATTTCGGACCTTTTCTGCCTACCGCCTGTTCTGACAAGCCGACTGCACCGGATTTCCAGAACTTCATCAACCGTCACTCGTTCAGGTAACTCAGTTCTCTTACTCTTAATTTTCTTTTTATTTTTTGAAATGGCACCACGGAAGCACACGACACGACCTAAGTTAGTGATCAGCCGGTCACCGGGGACGGCTGAATCTAGGACTAGGAGTGTCGCCTGCCCTTTTCTGGACCCATCTTTGCCCTTTATACAAAGTCCGACTGTATCTGTGTCTATGCAGAACGTGATGGCCAGAACGAAAAAGACTGCTATGATCTCAAACTCGGACGGCTCCTCCCAAAGGGTGCTCATTAGTGAAACATCTGACCAGGCACCAGATGTAGAAGTGAAGCAAAGCGGCTTGACAGCCGGCAGTTCTGAGGGAGGGGTCAAGGTGGTCCCTTCCCATTTTACCGTTGATATGTCTAATTTTCCTCCTGCTCCTTCTAAGGGAGAGGAGGCGGGCCCCTCTGGGAGAGGGGAGGAGTCGTCCTCTTCGGACTCGTCAGAGGACGAGTCCGAGTCCAGCTCTTCTGGCCACGCTTCTCCAGGCTCAGAAGAAAGACACAGCCGCCTACAAGAGGCGAGGCTTTCTCATGCAGTTGAGAAGGGGGACAATTGGGCGGAGCCGTCCGCCTCTTACAGAGAGGAAAACACCCCCTACTACTGCACGGTACCCCGGGGCCGGATCGCAGCCATGCAAGACAAAGTGGAGAGCTTTATAGCTAACCACAGAATGGGCCCCGAATTTTTACTGTTCGTGCCGGATCCAGAAGACACTGTCGTCTGGCCGGCTGGTACCAGCTATGATGACGGCTGCTTTGGCTGCTATGTGGCGGCCATCAAAGCTGGACTGCCCTTCCCATTACATCCGGCTGTTCAGCGGATTTTAGATGGGTATGATTTGGGGTTATGGCAGTTAGCCCCCAACTCTTGGGTAAACGTACTCGGCTATGTGGCCGGGTGCGAAATGTACGGGGTGGAGCCAAGCTTTGAGGCTTTCGCCCACATGAACTATCTCAGCCGGACCCCTAAGTCGGGAGGTACCGGCTGGTATCAATTAACAAGCCATAGGGGTTACCTCATGACGAGAGGTAAAGCGAACAAATGGAAGGATTGGCGGAACACCTTCCTTATCATCGAGGGTTCAGACACGGAGCTGAACAAACGCTTTAACAAGTGGAATAGGGATCCGCCTCTTCTCGCAGGCGGCCGCAGCATGCCACCTGTTCCCCCAAAGGCTAAAAAAGAGATCCTAGACAAAGGACTCTTCAAAGTAGAGACTAGGGTGAACTCTACTTCAGGGATACGAGAGCAAGTACCCCTAAAATGCGTCCCGAGCTTCAAGTGGCTCTATGACGAGTACTTTTTGGCCGCCTGTGGCCTCAGCAGTCGGTGCTCTAGAGGTAGCCGGCCTGACAAATACTCTGTTTTTTCACGCCTTGTTTACTTGGGATCTTTACTAACTTTGCTGTTTATTGTTTTGCAGCTGACGCCATGAGTAAAATAACAGCATCCAAGACTGCGGCGACCATGTTGCGGGCCTCTCTCATGCAACAGTCTTGTAGCGACTCCCCCAACAAGGGGGCACCCTTGGTAGGCTTCGAAACTCTTCCTCTTTTAGGAGTTGTCTTATGCATATACTAACTCTTTTTATATTATATTTTTTTTTTTTTTTCAGTCGGGCACTCCAAGAGCTTCTTCCTCGCAACAGCCGGACCCCAAGGCCCGGAGGACGACTGTTGCAAGCTCTCCTGGGTCTTCCAGGAAAACAGTGGCGGCTGAGAAGCAGCCGGCCACTTCTTCTAAAACCCCGGCGGGGCCGCCTAGAAGTATGGACAATTACTTGTAAAAACTTTTACACTTGCTTCCTTCTTGACTAGGTCTAACTTGCTTTTTTACGCTTGATGCAGCCGGCCCTCTGGGGCTTGACTTGGTAGAGGTAGCCAAGTCCATGATCAAAGTAGTTCCTCCATCTAAAAGGGAGGCGGTGAGGGGTGCCTGCCCCCTTGACCTTGATGGGATTGCAGGGGTCCTTGCTGAGGTATACTTTTTGAGTATTTGAATTCCAGGACGCCTGTTATCTTTTTTGTTTGGAAACTGACGCCTGTTTTTTTTTTTATTATTATTTTTTTTTTTAATACTTAGGCCCTGCTCCGAGTTAACAGCCTTCGCAAGCCGCTTGATCGGAAAAACAAAGAGGTAAAGGCTGCAAAAGCTATGGCCCCCTCTAACTATGATAAGGCAATGTTTCAAATTGCCCAAAATGAAGTACTGACCATTGATATTCTTTATTATCAGGCGCAGGCTACCGCCGCTGTTCGGGCTCAGTTAGAGGCGGCCCAGAAGAAGAATGACGAGCTGGAGGCGACCATCACAAATCTTAAGGCCGAGCTGAAACCTCTTCGCCAAAAAATGTACTCTTACGAAGCCATGGAGAAATCCTTGGCCAGCGTAAAAGAACGCCTGGTGAGCCAAGAGAAGAGTCTTACCCAAGAGCTCTCGGAAAAGGACGAGCAAGAGAAGAAAGAGCTCGTCCGGGAGATGATGGAAGACTCCGCTCAAATCCAGCGCATGACCTGGGGCCGCCTGTTCCCCAATGCCGAATTTGCCTCTTGGGAAAGAACGTACCGCCAGTGTTCGGAAACATATAATCAAGAGATCCTGGCGGCTGCTGAAGAAGAGGCGTTGGGAGATGCGTTGGAGGAGGAGGAGGAGCCGGTTGTGGCGCTTGTGCCACTTGGGGGTAAGGCATCAAAAGAGGATGCAGCTGAAGCCGAGTCCAGCAAGAAGAGTGCTGACCAGGCGGCAGCTGCTAATACTGAACTGCCCCCTTCTTAGGCTTAATGTATTTTTTCCACGGCCTGCGTGCCGTTTGCTTTGTATTTACCCGGCCAGGGGGCCGGGGCTTTGAATATTTTGCTGGTCTTTAATGACCGGCTTATTTTTAATGAATTTTTGTTTTGCTTCAAATTTGTCTAAGTATTCCATATCTAATATCCCATTGTTC